AAAAAAGGTGTCGATATCAGGCAACAATACCATAATTCTATTATACCCATCTATTAGAACGCAACTATTCTTATGCTTTATTACAGCAAAACCCTGAAGCACCGTGTCAAGTACGTGCCCCCTGAGCAGCCTCTGCTGGGTCACCCGCTGCGCGTGGTGGAGGCGCAGAGGCGCATCCATCCGTGCTCGGTCCGGCTGGCCTGCGAGAACCCGCACACCACACTGACCAACGCCGGCTTCTCGCGGAAACCCAACGGAGGAACCTTCGCCACCTGAACATGACGCGTGTCTTGGAACGGTTTATGTCCCCTGATCATACAGCGACAGAGTTTCACTTTTTGTCACGGACGTGTTTGCGTGGATAAAATTGAATTTGTGAAAATTTTCTTAGGTGAAATTACCGTTTGTAAACATGAAAATATGCAATCGAAACAAAAGTGTTCCACAATCATTGCGTACGTTTCAATAAACGGAACTGAAGCTACCCACTGCAAGTGCCTATATTTTACCCAGGAAATTGTTAGGTATACCATCGACTATCGAGGTATCTGGAGAAATAAACAAGAAGGGATGGCACGCAGAAGTCAGTTGAGCGCAGGTATCCTGTATCCAGTATCGCATTGCACTCAGGTACCTACTTGCAGTGCCTCAGCTCGTTCAACGACACACTTTTTCCACACTGTCTCGCTCGCTCGTTTGTCACCAAAAAGGTGTCTTACGGGTTAACTGCACCAAACATCTTATAAGGGTCTTTAAATAGCCCTCTGTTCAGCAGAGGTGTGTGTTGATAACATGGGCGTAGGAACGGCTGGAACATTGTGGGTGCATGGGTGCAGAAATCTAGCCATGGCCGGTGAAGCGGGGGGGGGGGGTGTAGGGAGCGACACCCGAGCGAAGGCTCGTTACGAGCTTTGAGGGTGTACCATGTTGAAAAGGTACCGACCGATAAGTGGATTTGGAAGCATTGACCCTCGCATGTGTAGGGGGTCGGATGACCCCCCCTCCATGGTTTTTCGCAAATAACTCGCGCAAAAAGCGGCCGATCGCGACGAAACTTTTAATACCCTCGAGTTGATCAGTTACACCTACTATGAAAATTTCATGACCCTGACCCAAAAGACCTATGACCTGTGAACTGATTCTCGAGACCATGCTCGGCCGGAATCGCAATTTGGCGTATGTCAGCTCACATTGTCCGCGCGTTTCCAGTCTTTTTGTGATTGTCGACGTCCAAACATGTGAAATGATGTTCGTCCCATGCATCACGGTGGGTGTGAAGGTCACCTGAAGGTCAGGCCAGGTCATTGACCTTTGATAACATCGGTTTACTTTTTCGAGTTTTACATGTTTCTAGGGTAGTTTTTCGGGCTGATTTCGAATTTAGCATCCATTTGAACGTTTACGAAGTAGTTTTAGTGCCTTCGTAACATGCTACGACGCCGTCATGAGTGGTAGTTGACACGTACTATGAATAGCCGGTAGGACGCCTAATGGTTGACCTGACCTGACCTGACCCGATCTGGCCTAAATGCACGACGAAATCATCTATGATCAAAACTAGCATCAGATATTCTGATCAGCACCCCGAAAAACCCGATAACAGCTTCACTTTACGCAGTTCTAGCAGGTCGGGATTTTCCCGACTTTTGAAATATTGACCCGACTTGGAAGGTCAACCAATGACCTAAGACCTTAAAATTGGGTATCATCGGCTTCCTCTCGTCACGGGCAGCACCCTCCTTTTTTCCGCGAAGCTCTAGCTCGATCAGGCCGGGCCGAACGGCAGGGGGGTCCGACCGACCCCCCCCCCCCTCCCCCTGCACATTAGAAGCTGGAAAACGCCGCACACATGCGAGGGTTAATATTGTCAATATTGACTACCGCAAAAAAGCGGCCAACTTAGCCATTTTCGAAGATATCGGGCTAAAAGTTTTGACAGTGGGTCATCGGTTCGGCCTATGTGTTCAATCACATGCTCCATTTCCTTTTTTTTCTTCAGCACACATGCAAGTTTTGTAGATCATCACAGTAGCAAATGCTTCGAAAGATGGATAGTAGGCAACATATCCCGAATTTGCCGTGCTGCATGGGAAGTGTGTTGATGAGAAAAGGCCAAAGGGGTTTTTGGTTCAGATTATTGTGGGTGCAGAATACATTGTCTGCACCCGCTGGAGAAATATTATGGGTGCAGCTGCACCCTTGCACCCATGGTTCCTACGCTTATGGTTGATAACCTTATTTCTTTCTATTATTTCATGATCAGAATGGGCTCGGCTCACACGCCCGCAGTGTTGTACGTGGACAAACTACAAAGCAAATGCTTCTCTTTTTCCTTATCGAATCTATATCGCACAATTTTTTACACTTGCAATTAGGTTTTAAGTAAGTAGGTGATATGGCCATAAAACATGAAATGTACTAAGGATAAAACAGCGCTACTTATATTGGATCCCCACATCAATGATTTACTAGCGGAGAGTGCTTGAGTAAAAGCAAGTGGAAACGGCGCAGCTGCGACGAAACATTTCGTAAATTTGGCGACTGCGGCGACTATAAACACACATTTCAATTTCGGGCGTCGTTCATGTGGTTAGATAGGTTATTTCGGGTTTCCTCCGGGCATTGGATTATTCAAAGGTCCTCATTATTTTTTTCTAGATCGAGACACAAATCTGCATTACAAAAAGGTGGCGGTTGCGCCTGAATTTTTCAGCGGCTTATGCTTAGCTCATCCTCTGTCAGTTGTCACCTTTTCTGTTGTCAGTTTGATTTTCGCAAAAGCCCCGCATTCAACATCAACCAGTTCAACTTCAAATTGTGTTACAGTCGTTTCAGTTTCAAAGGTATGTGCGATTTTACAACGTCAATATTTGATTTGCTTTTTTGAATTGTACTACTGGTAAAGGGAACTGCCTCGAAACCCACGATATAGGTAGTTAACTTAAGGTATCGGTAAAGCTGGTGTCACTGTCGCTTCTAACCGGTAAATGTATAGATGAAGTTAGAGTACAAAACATAATCTAACCTGACCTAACCTTACAGCTAACCTACAACCTACCAACCTACACACCTAAAACCTACCAACCTACAAACCTACAGGCTACAACCCAACCTACCTACCTAGCTACCTACAACGGTGACGCCAGCTTTACGGATACCAACTTAGAGACAGTGTTACTATATTCTAAACCAAGTTTGAGGTTTGGTCAAAGGTGGGTATTAGTTGCCATAGGCTTTCTCAGTATGTGGTGGAATCTGAAAACAGGGCGCCAGAGGGCATTCTTAGTCACACAATTTTTGGGATATTATCCCCCTTTTGATGCATTTAACATGCTAATTGAATTGTCATGTTATTATCTCAAGTGAACTTCAAGATCCATGATCAAATTGCCCCAGGCGCCCTGCTTCAGATTCCACCCAATAAGTCACTCTTGTTGGGTTTTGTTGTACAGCTAATAGCAGACTTGTCCTGTGCAATGTTTTCAGTTTTCTTCCCATGCTTGGAAATGAACAAAGTTGTGTCCATTTCAATTCTAGTCTTCAAATGCTGCATGAGAGGCAAATCAAAATGCCCCAAATGTTTCAGATAATTTACCAGTGACCATTCTCATGCTCTTCCACATACATGCTGTTTGTTGCCTGGTTACATCTGGTCATACACAATTTGGAATGGATCTCAATTTGAAGTGGAGTTAGTGGCAGGTGGAGAATGGTAGTATTGGCCTATTGGTGGGGGGGGGGGCCTTAAAGTTTTCAAAGATTTTGTACTTTTGCATGTTTTGCTCACTGCTGATTGTTGAGCATCTGGAATTAGATTTTAACCATACAAAGTTGTTTTGCTTAGTTTTTTATTTATGTTAGAGAAAAGCAGCCATTTTTCATGCTTCAGAAGCTGCAGAATCCCCCACAGCAAACAGCTCTCCCTGGATCTGATAAGTTTAGTGTGGTTATTTTGTTTGCTTTTCTTCCTAGAACAAATGGGGGTTGGATGATAAGGATCAGATCACAAGCCGCTTAGCAGGAACTTTTCTTAAAATATTTGCCTGCCAATTCTGATGACTGGCCATCTTGTTTTAAGATATTAGACCACCTTTGACCTTGATCAGATTCTTATATTTGTTTTTTTTTAACCTATGTTAGATATCAGTTATATGTTTTCAACAGAAGTAAAGCTACTATTTTTTAATTTCTACTATTCCTTCTACTTGCATTTGGTTGGCCAGCCAGATTGATCTCACTTTAAAAGGACTTGTGTCAGTGTAGCAGCATCATGCACGATCCTGCTCTATTGCCAATGTCCTTTGGGGGAGGGGGCTGTATCAAGTGCCTCCAGAAACCTCCAGAAGCTCCAGAAAGCTCTAGAATTCTCCAGAGAGCGAGAGGTCCACATTTCTCCGGAGGCACTGGTCCATAATTATGGCGCACATATGACAATTATGAATGTAAACAAAGGGCTTTTGACTGTTAATTTTACAACTTAAATGTAAAGCAAATTACATTTTCATAATTCATAATTTCATATATCTTTCTTACTAAAATTAAAGACAAATTTGGTTTTTAAGAGTGAACCATCATCATCCTTTTAGTATTCATGACACCAATCTCCAGAAATCTCCAGATTGCATTCTAGCACCTCTCGTAAAACTTCTGGTAAAGCCTCCAGTCAATATTTTCTTCTGGAGGCGCTGGAACAGGCCATTGTAAAATGTTTGTCAAGTGCCAACTGTGGAACTCTGAGCTGCATAAGAAATTGATTGTGATCAAGGAGGCAACAATTTGTGCCACAGTTCATATTTGTCATGTATATGTCACAGCAGATTTTGTAGGTTGTAGGTAAGGTCTGGTCAACTTTGATTGTTTTGTTCTATATTGATATCAATATTTACTTTGAAAAGACATATGCGACGCATCGTGAGATGCGGACCATGTGGCATATATGATACACACCCGTGATCAAACACATGTCTTTTATACAGAGCCTCCTAGTCCTCCACACTCACCATTGGTTCTCCGATTGCAGATGAATTTCATGCCGGAGGTGGAGGCGATGTCTGCGGAGGCCGCCGCCGCCGTGGAGGCGCTCATGTCGCCGACACTGCCACCTGGCGAGCGACAGCGCACCTACGAGTTGTGCGAACGCCTGAAAGAGTCGCCGATGGCGCTGCAGTGCGGGGTCTATCTGTCTGCCAGTCACCGGCCGAATATGGTCCGATACCTCGGGCTGCAGATCATCGAGAACACCATCAAGTTCCGCTGGAATGACCTATCAGTGGAAGAGAAGGTGTTCGTGAAGGTATGAACTTTGTTCTTATGGATGACCCTGAGCGAATACCGAGATTTTCGAATCTCGGTGAATACCGAGATTTCCGAATCTCGGTATATGATATACCAAGATTCCGAGTTGCTCGATTTTTTTTTGACAGATTTTGGCTTAATACTTCTGATTATTATTTTTTTTTTTTTTTGTTGGGTTAGGCCCTTTCGGTCCAATGAGACCATTTCAGAGCCGGGAGGATGATAGGATATAGGGGGAGACATTGGTCTGGGCAGGCACCCTAGTGAGTCGCCGGGGCTGAGCCCGTCCAGAGGACAGGCCACCCAGCCCCAAGGCACTCACTGCACCCGGCTACGGGGTGCGCTCCCTCGGGAGCAGCGGTGCCGCTCAAAGGGAGCAGCCCGCATGAGATAAAGTTGCCTGTCCAGCCCGGAGGGGGGTTGCGGCGTGGAGGAGAAGGATTTCAGTATCCTGAGGATAGAAGCACGGAACGGTTTCTGATTATAACATCGAAGCAGGATGATAAGGAGCGGACAGTATCCCTCACGCTTTACTTACGCCATACCGTTTTCCACAGACGACCACGCCCTGCCCTGACCTGTTTAGTTATCGGTCGTTATCTCGGAACGGGGAAGATAAGGCTAGAAACAGATATTATATATTATCGCGACATATCAAGCAGAGACAAAACATACCGAATGAGAACGCTACGTTAGGTTATCGGTTAAAGCTCAAGTTAAAGTTGACCGAGCCGCTCGAATGTATCTTTAGCTTTTTTCTTCTAGAATTTATCACAGCGCGTGATGGAGTTTCTCGCGGCTTATTTAAGCCGCCTCTTCGGGTGCACTATATAACACCTCCCCTCAAGTTGAGCGGTCTCGGCGGTAGGTACGCCTCCTCGGGTCGACCTGTAGCCGTTCTGGAGGCCTCATAGTACGGTTGCTCCGCCGCGGGGGCGCAGGCAGGCGTACGGACGCTTCATCTGCGAACCTTACGCGCGGTCCGTGCGCCACATTAGGGCTATCGTCCACCACCCCCGGTCCCTCCGGTCGCTGAACCGGGGCGTGGGGATGATGCAGCCTCAGGAACCTGCGGTTTCTCCACATGATCCGACCACTTGGCAGTTTAACCAGGTAGTCCCTCCGGCGACCGACGGCGACGACAATACCGGTTCGGGTCCAGAGGCACGAAATGGGGTCTTGTACGTCCACATAGTTTCCTGTCTTCAACGCGCCCAACGACCCTGCAGACGCGTCGTACCTCTCTCGGGTCGCCGACCTTAGTTCTTGCGCCTTTTCATCGCACTCAGCTGCTGATTTCTGCCACTCTGGGGCGAAGGCACGATAGTGTGCCGGAACTGCGGATCTGAGGGGGTGACCAAACAGGACCTGAGCAGGTGAGCGCCCGTCTGCCCTTGGCGTATTGCGCAGTTCTAGTAGTCCTTTGGCGAACTCATCCGAGTCCGTGTTCCCGTTCTGAGTGGTCTTGAGAATGAGTCTCTTTGCCGACTTAACCGCTGCTTCGGCGTGCCCGTTGGACTGTGGATAGTACGGCGTCGACATCCGGTGATCGATCTGCCATCTCTTCATGAAGTCTCTGGTGATCTTTGCACTGAACTGGGGCCCCCCATCCGTGCGTAACACGTTCGGCACTCCAGTCGAAGCGAATATCTTACGAAGCGTCGTCACTAGATCACGGGCTGTGGCGTCACGTGAGAACGTAGCGATGACCGGCCAGCCGGACAGGCGGTCGACATACACCAAGAATGGCTTGCCAGCCGCGGTGAAGAAGTCAGCTGATACGCTCTCGAACACGCGTTTTGGTGCCGGGTCATCCATTAGAGGTTCTTTCCTCTGGCTGGGGAGATTCTCGCGGCATGGACGGCATGTTCTCACGGTGTTCTCGATGTCATTGTTCAGACCAGGCCAGAAGACTGACTGGCGACCGCGCCGTTTTGTCTTGTCGATGCCTTGATGGCTGGCATGTAGCTCTGCCAGGACGTCTCGACGCAGTGAAGCAGGGATGACCAGCCTCGCGCCCATGAGCAGTACATCTCCGTCTACAGATAGCTGATCACGGTAGGGCCAGTACGGACGGAGCCCAGTCGGTAGGTCCGCCTTCTCGGAGGGAAATCCCTCTTCTACTGCCGCCCGCAGGCTGACATATTCATCATCCAAACTCCCTGCATCTCTGATTCTTGTCAACATCAGATCTGGTGACCTCTCTTGCGACCGCGTCGGACCGTGCTCGTCAGTGACGTGCGCTGCCGCGCCGACGACGACGGCTCTGACGTAGCTGTTGAGGTCCTTTTCTGCCTCCGCATCGTCTGTAGACGGCTCGTCGACTGGAGCACGAGACAGTGCGTCCGGTACGCAGTGTTTGCTACCACTCCTCCACGAGGCAGTGAAGCTGTAGGCCATCAGCGCGTGCCTGAGGCGCTGGAGCCTCGGGTTTTCGATGTCCGCCAGCAGCTTGTTGTTCAGGATTGGGATCAGTGGGCGATGATCCAGCACGGCTTCGAATGTGAGGCCAGCCAGATACGTTCTGCACTTACGCACGCTCCACACGAGCGCCAGCATCTCAAGCTCGATGACGCTGTAACGGCTCTCTGTGTCCGTCAGAAATCTTGACCCGCACTGCACGAGCCGCCACCGATCTCCGTGTTTCTGCATCAGCGCGAATCCCAGTCCATGCAGGCGGGATGCGTCGGTCTGAAGTACAGTGGGGAGTGCCGGATCGAAGAACGCGAGTATCGGCGGTGACGTCAGCGCCTTTTTGACGTCATTGAACGCGTTCTGGTGCACTTCAGTCCAGGTCCAGACGTTACTCGGCTTTAGGAGGTCGCGCAGTGGTGCAGCTGCCCTCGCGATGTCAGCCGAGAATTCACCCAGTTGATTTACCAGCCCGAGGAAGCTTCTCAAGTCTGTGAGTGTGGCTGGAGCGGGGAACTCAGCTATCGCTCGTATTTTCCTTTCGTCGGGTTTGAACCCGTGCTCTCCGACGGTGTAGCCGCAGTATTCGATCTCTGCTTGGGCGAACGCCATCTTATCAACGTTCAGCGTGATTCCGTGCTCCTCGCATCTCCTGAGCACGTCTTGAACTTGCTTCAGATGACTGTTGTAGTCCTCTGAGTAGTTGAGAATATCGTCCACGATCTTGCAGGTATTTTGCAGCCCTGCTAGTGCTTGATCGCCTCGCTGGTTGTATTCATCGCCCGAAGACGACAGACCCATGACTGCGCGCGTGAACATGTACCGGCCCCACGGTGTAATGAAGCACGTCAGGTGCTGATCGTCTTCATGGAGCGGAATCTGGAAATATCCACTTTTTGCGTCCAGCTTCGTGAAGTACTTGGCCCCTGTTCCGATGGCTGACACCACATCGTGAGGCGTCTTCATAGGGTAAGCCGGACGGCGGACGTGCTCATTGAGTCGTGTCAGGTCGACGCACAGTCTCACTTTTTGCGTTCCGTCGGATATAGTTTTGACTACAGGCGTCATGGGGTGGCACCACTCGGTGGGCTCGCTGACCGGCACGATGATGCCCTGACGTGCGAGAGCATCCAGCTGATTCTTGATGTCGTCGCGCCAGGCGTACGGTATGGCTCTAGCCGCAGTTGTCGCGACCGGCTTCACGTCCTCTTTCAACTGGATTCGCATTGGTGGTCCGGCCATCTTTCGCAAAGTTCCGTCTTCGAACACGCTACTGAATGCTTCTTTTAGACTTTCCGCGTGACTGTTGCGCTCATGTTCCGTAGGCGCGCGCTCTAGAACCCAGGTAGGGAGTGTATTTCCTCCGCCCGACCGGGTCAGCACCGTAGGCACCGCAGTTTCATCTTTCTGATCGGAAGTTAGCGAGCGTGAGCGCCGCCGGCTGGTGTCACGGCGGGCTCCGCGGGCTGACTGTGTCTGTCCACTTGCCGCGTACTCAGTTGACTTGATCTGGCGTGGGAAGTCCGGGGGAAGTATCCCCAGTCCGATGCATTCAGTCCACGAAAGCAGTGCTCCATCGAATCTGTTTAAGACCACGACTTCAGTAGTGACTTGCCTATCTCCGAGATGCAGCTCACATGAGAACGTTCCAGCTGAATCTAGCTGTCCTCCTCCAGCCGCATATAGTTTTTCGTTCAGCGGTGTTAGGCGAGTTACATCCACACCGATGCTCTTGGCTTCTCGCTCGCCGATGACGCTGACTTCAGCGCCAGTGTCCGGAGTCCATAGGAGAGTGCCGCCCCCGTCGGCGACTTTCACGCCGACAGTAATCTGCGGTGTTTTCAGCAGCGCCGCCGGGCTGCGTGTCACGTCAGCTATGGTAACGTGCTGCACGTTACGCTTCTGAGACTCCGATTCTGGTTTGCGACTGAGAGAACGTCTGCGAGTACGGCCGTCTGACTGCGTCTTTACCGTTTCTCCACTGCGCGACGCTCTACGACACACAGCGGTGTAATGCCCCACTCGCTCACAATTTTCGCACTTGGCTTTTCGTGCAGGGCACTTGGATAGGCTCTCATGCCAAGATCCGCCACAATAGCTACAGGCTCTGACAGACTCTTTGCTCTTGTGATAATTGTTAGCTTGTCTGACGGTCTGGATTTCTGTGCGGTGAGACATGAGAGCTTGGGAATCATGCGCAGCATTCTCTCGGGCGCGACAGATGTCCAAAGTCTTCTGCAGGCTCAAATCTTTCTCGCTCAGAAGGAGGCGAATTGTTTCCTCGTCTCCCAGCCCTGTTAGGATTCGATCGCGGAACCTGTCTTCCGTGCAACTGTCGCAAAAGTCGCAGAACTGAGCAATCTCCTTCAGAGACATGAAGAAATCGTCGAATCGCTCACCTGGCTCCTGTCGACGCAGATAGAAATCCCGGCGATCTAGGATGACGTTTCTCTGACGCCGAAGATGAGCCTCCATTTCGCTGATGAGCTTCGAGATTGTGTCACCTTCTCCGGTTCCCGTGGCTGTGCCGTTATTTAGGCCGAACTTTACTATTCTGAGCCAATCGTCGTCTAGTAAAGTGTAGAACACTGCTTTTTGCTCTTCGTAAGGCAGTTTTTCTATGCCAGTGAGCTTAGCATATCCTTCATATTTTTCTTTCCATGTTGCGAAGTCTCGAAGGTTAGCTGTACCGCAGAGTCTAGGGACGGGTATGGTGCCTGGAGCTACGCTGTATTTTCGGCCATCTGTGTTGGCCGGTCTCGTTCGAGTCGTCTCCGATGTATCACCGTTTGTTGCTTGAGCTGTGTCGCTGCTGGTGCGAGCGTCTTTTTCTAGAAGCTGGGCTATCATAGCAGCGAGTCTCTCTTCTCTCTGCTGTGCGGCAGCTGCTTGCTGTTGCAGAAGTTCTGCCATCTTTGAAGCAATATCTTCCTGTCCCGATCCTGCCGGCTGCGCCATGTTTAGTTATCGGTCGTTATCTCGGAACGGGGAAGATAAGGCTAGAAACAGATATTATATATTATCGCGACATATCAAGCAGAGACAAAACATACCGAATGAGAACGCTACGTTAGGTTATCGGTTAAAGCTCAAGTTAAAGTTGACCGAGCCGCTCGAATGTATCTTTAGCTTTTTTCTTCTAGAATTTATCACAGCGCGTGATGGAGTTTCTCGCGGCTTATTTAAGCCGCCTCTTCGGGTGCACTATATAACATGACCTCTCACCCCGCCTGTCCCTGCGCGCCAGGACGCCTGTCTGGACCTGATGTCCTCGGTGGAGCCGTCAGCGCCGGCCCACCTGCGGGACGCGCTCTGCCGACCTCTGGTCGAGAT